ATGGATGGATGGATGGATGGATGGATGGATGGATGGATGGATGGATGGATGGATGGATGGATGGATGAATGGATGGTTGGATGAGCAGATGGTTGGATGGATGGATAGATGGATGAATGGACAGATGGATGGATGGATGGATGGATGGTTGGATGAATGAATGGATGGATGGATGGTTGGGTAGCTGGATGAATGGACAGATGGTTGGATGAATGAATGGATGGATGGATGGTTGGGTAGCTGGATGGTATGTTGTGTGGGCAGGTGGCAGTGAGTGAGAGAGCCCCTCAGCATATCATCAGACTGTAGCCAGGGCTAAGTGAGTTAATTCAGGTAAAGGGCTTAGGTGGCACCAGACCCTCAGTGGGTGCTGAGTCTTGCACCAGATCCTATGGGTGCTAATTACTAAAGGGGCACACACCAAGTTAATCCAAATCAAACTCAGCACCTCCAAGTCCATTCAGCCTCCTAGCGACCCTATGGGGCAGGGTAGAACTTCCCCTGCGGGGTTCTGAGACTGTAATTCTTTATGGGAGTAGAAAGCCTCATCTTTCTCCCTCGGAGCGACTGGTGGGTTTGAACTGCTGACCTCACCCACAATGCCACCTGAGCTCCTTGCAGACCTAGCGAATACTCAGTCAATGGCAGACTGGGCAGCTGTGAGCCCAAACTCCAGTTTCCCCTCAGGGCACAGGGACCGAAAGCATGGCGTGGGAAACCACACAAGCAGCGATGGCCTGGGGGTAGGACACTGGGAACAAGCCAACACATCAATTAGGGGCTCTTTATCTGCTGTTCAAATGGCCCGAGCATCTGCTCTGCCCACAGCAGAGCCCCTCGGAGTCATGGGATAATTAATCTGCCGATGTCTCTTCCCGCAGGCGGAAGCTACACTGGTCTGTGTCGAGTGACCAGCGTGTCCCCCCCAGACTACAAACGCCCGGGTCTCCTCGACACAGAGCGTAGGAACACGGCTGCCAAGCCTGTTCTGTCCGCTGCACTCACTCCGCCCCACTGTCCTCCCAGAGAGGAGAGCCTCACCCATGCACTTCCCACGGCTAAACATCGTTACCCAGGCAGACTGCCGGGATCTTTGTCCTGAGCAGTGGCTAGCAGGGTTCGAACCGCTGAACTGGTTTGAAGGCAAGCATTTTAACCACTGTGCCACTCTCCCCACTGGGCTCTTAGATACCTGCCTTTCCATCAGGGGGGGGCCACCACTACCTCTTAGGGCACCTTTGTGAAAGGGGGGTGGGGAGAGGGGAGTGGAGAGAAGCATTCCTTCTCCAGGCAGGTGCACGGGGTGGCGGGCAGAGCTGGGGCTGGCGCTCAAGCCCCGCTTTCCTCATATGGGCTGTGCGTGTGCAGTGTGCACCCTGCGCAGCCGTGCACGGCAGCCTAGGAGGGGAGGAGAAGGCAGTCTGGGTGAATGGTACTTTGCTGGCTTTCACGGGTCTGGTGGGGGTCTTTGGAGCAGCGGTCAACAGGGGCTCCGGCGTAAGAGAACTGGAGCAAACAGCCTTCCTTGAGCGTGGCCCGTCTGCTACTGCTTCAGAGTGCCGGCTTTTTCATCTTTTAAAACCGGGATGCCTGCAGCCTGGGTCAGAGGCTTGCCATAGACTCGGTGTGATTAAATGAGATGGGGGTGGGGCATGGGGGGCGGGGCCTGGCGCTGATCTGTTACACAGCACTTTGGGCAGTAGAGTCAGAGTTGAGGGGTCATCCCCTGGGCTGAGCATCTCAGCGAGGGGCTCACCCTGGCCCGGCCCCTGGATGCTTTGGTCAGGAGAAGGGTTTTCATCTAGAAAGCAAGTCAGCAGCACGAGCTTGGGCAGGTCCCTTAACAGTTCTGAGCCTCGACTTTCCTATCTGCAAAATGGGCATGACTGTTCTGGCCTGGCAGGAAAGCCCTGGGCTTTCAAACAGGAGTGAGGGAGGAACTTGAAGCCAGGCCTGGCCCAGTCCCCAAGTGGCACAAAGTGTCGTCCCCAATCTCACCACTGTCCCCATCAGCAGCGTCCTTCTCAACGCCAGTGAAATCGAGCAGCTTCGAGAAACAGGAGAGAAGATTAAGGGGTGCTGTCCCAATAGCATGTCAGTGGGACAGACAGAGTCCTCGAGTTGCCACGGCTCACCTACAGCTTCATTTCACAGGTGGAGGGTGACACCCGGATGGGAGATAACTCGCCCAGGTCCCCCACGATGTGGTAGTTAGATTGTATGTCAGCTTGGACTTATGGAGGGGCAGGGGCCAACCTGTCAATCAAGAGGTAGCCCGATGACACCTCCTTGGGGCTGTGGCCTTTTGTATAAGAGAGAGGGACACTGGGCACTCTTCTCTTGGCCCCTTGGACTACCTGCTTGCTGGGTAGCCAAGTCCAGCCCCCAGGAGTGGCCCCATGTGGGCTGCCTGACTCAGGGAGCCAACCCAGGAGCTGTCAGCATCTTGCCTTGCCCCCACTGACCGTGGATCCACCCGACTCTGTATCCACCAGCCTATGGTCTCCCTGCTTCCAGCTTCACCCCTCTGCATCGCTGGCCTGCAGCCACGTGACTCTGAAGAGGGCTCTGACCTATGAACTTAAGACCTTGAGTTGGACTGCCGTCTTGATATCAAAAGACTTCTTGGCATAACACTCTTTTTAAAAACATAGAGGGAGTGTCCCAGGCTTTGTTTCGATAGACAACCTGGTCCTAACACAGTTGGAACTAAAGGGAATGCAGGCCTCCCACTCCCGGCCCAGATGCCAGGTTGCAGCCTCCGCTATGGAGAGAGTGCTCCCAGTGGGGTCCTCAGTGAGTGGGCAGAGATGGGGAGGGTCTCAGACCCACCAACCTCCCCCAGCTGCCCAGCCAGGTCTCCAAGGTGCTCCAGTCCACCAGCCTAGCAGACAGGCTGTAAGAAACGGCCAGCCCGGGGTTGCTGGGAGAGCCGACTCACCTTGCACCTGTGTCTGGTACACGATGAAATAGCTGGGCGTGCCGCAGCTCTCGAACTCCTCCGCGCTGCACTTCTGCGCACAGAGCTGCTCATCCTCCCGCTCGTGCAGGGGAAAGCGCGTGGTGGGGAAGCCGCAGTGGCAGGCAGTGCCCGCCAGAGCCGCCAGTGGGTACTCCTAGGGGCGGGAGGGAAAGGCGGAGGTCCACTAACTCCCCAGACAATCTCGGGCTCCAAACATGGAGGGGGGGATCTGGCTTGCCCTCCCCCAACTCGAAACCAGAAAGGCTTTGTCTTTGAGTCTGCATAAAAAGCTCTGTATAGCCTCGCTTGCAGAAGGCTCCCCACTCTCCAGAGCTCTCTCCTGTGGACCCAAAGGAGATCAGAGGAAACAGGAAGAGGGAGGGATGGGGTGGAGCCTTTCAATTCACCCACACTCCCCTTTCTCTCCGGTCCCCTGTACAGTCTGACCCTTCATGATGTGGGTTTGCCCCTGACCTTGCTGGTTCTTGCCAAGGAGGAACTCTAGCCGACTTGTAGGTTCCTCCAGGACTCACAGGGACTGGAAAATGTCTTTCCAGGGGGATGCTTGTCCAGAAGGGAGGGCCAAACCAAGCTTCCTGAAATCTCATGAGATGCCCGCGACCCATGACGTTCCTGAATGCTCCATACAGCACAGCAAACCGACAAACGAGTCCATGTGGACTCATAGCGCCCCTAGTGGACAGGGTAGAACTGCCCCTGTGGGTTTCTGAGACGATACCTCTTTTTTTATTTGTTTTGTTTGAGACTGTAACTTTCTTTTTAATCATTTTATTGGGGGCTGGTACAGCTCACCACAATCCATCCATCCATTGTGTCGAGCACATTTGTACCTATGTTGCCATCATCATTTTCAAATTACAGAAAGCCTCTTCTTTCTCCCAAGGAGCGGCTGGTGGGTTCAAACTGCTAACTTGCCCACTACACCACCAGGGCTCTGAGCCATCACACTCGGGGTGAGTTAATTAAATGTTTGATCAGTGAGGCCTGAGAATGATGTCGTCAATATCCAAATGGCTCTTTGGCAGGAAAGGGGTTCCTCACCCCTGATTCTGCACGGTCAGTCCTTTGAAACCACCAGCCGCTCTGTGGGAGACAGATAGGACTCTACCCCCATAAAGAGTGACAGTCTCAGAAACCTTCAGGGGCAGCTCTCTCTTGTTCTACAGGGTCGCCGTGAGTCGGAATCCATTCGATGGCAGGGAGTTTGGTTTTTGGGTTGTCGTTGTTACCCGGATTCTAACCCAACCGCTATCCAATGCCTCAAGCTCGGATGCCGTTCCTGCCCTGCCTCTGCTTGCATACCTTGAGTGACTGGGAACTTACTTTGCCTCAAGGTGGGGCGTTGTCTTTACCTCTTGTACCTGGAGATCTTTCACTCTTGGGTCTAGGCCCAGCCCAAATGATACCTCCATCTCTCATGATGAGAAGCTACTTCCTTGGGGAAGAGACAGCTTCAGCCTCTTGGATCTACCTGCCTCTCCATCTGCACAAATCACCAGCCTTCACCCCTGGTCTCTGGCCAAGCACCTGGGTCCTCTAGACCACCCCTCCCTCTGAATGAGCATACATCTCCCACCCCCACCCCCTGGCTTCAGTGTGCAGGCCCCGAGCTCACCTTCTCAGTACAGAAGTCCACACACTTGTCCACAGACAGGTTCAGCATGGCGGCCGTCACGGGCAAGGCCAGGGAGAGGTTGCTGGGCCTGCGGAAGCAGCCTCGGAAGATGGCGCTTCCATCTGGAGAACCACAGGGAAAAGGGACCATTAGCCAGAGCTCCATCCTCCGCAGGAGGCGCTCCGAAGGGAAAGGCCAGAGGAGACAAGCATGGTGCCCGAGGTCACACAGCGAGACACACAGAGCAGCGGGTGTGTGCTCTGAAGCGCAGCTCCCCATAGCCAAGGAATCAGGTCAATCAAAGAAGGTTCTCTCCTCAACCCTGGAGCCACTGGGTCCTGCTTGAGATTCTTCCTCAGCCACAGAACTTTCCTTGACCTTGCCAGCATTCTCATGCCTCTTCCTCAACGAGCCAGATCCCAAGGAGGAATCGTGGTGAGGGATCAGCAGGAGGAGCCAAGAGTTGGACGAGGCTGCCCCACCCTGCTCCACCAGTTGGGGCTTTGGGGGTGGTTCTCAGTCTCCAGTCTCTACATACCAAGGCCTGGGCACCTCCAGAATTGGCGAGATCGAGGTGGTCCGAGGAATTGGCTCTGAGACAACTTAATCCCAGCTGCCCGATAGAACATGTGGAAGAAACATCTAATTCTTCATAAGTAATGCCGTTTCCCTAGCCCCAACCCCACAAAAACAAATCCCACTGCCATTGAGTTGATTCTGACTCATGGCGGCCCTATAGGACAGGGTAAACCCCCTATAGGAGGTTGTAACTCTTTATGGGGAGCAGAAAACCTCATCTTTCTCTCGGGGAACACCTGCTGTTTGCGACCTGCTGACCTTGTGATCAGAGCCCACAGCATTCTCTCCAGTACAAGCCACCCCTTTCAAAAGCTCCCTGCTGTGAAGTCAATGTCCACTCATAGCGACCCCCTGTGGGTTTCTGAGACTGTGATTGTTGAAGCGGGTAGAAAGCCCTGCCTTTCTCCTGCAGGGTGGCTGGTGGTTTTGAACTGCCGACCTCGCGGATCACAGTTCAACTCACAACCACGCCACCACTGGGGTTTGTAGGGAGAGCCATTCGGAGGTGTGGTCTGAGCTGAGATGGGTAGAGTGTTGTTTAGCTTCCTGCTCAGGACTGGAACATTGCCCTTCTCAGGGAAGCCTGCTCTCTCTGCCTTGCCACCTTCTCCCCTCCCCCAGTTTGGAAACCTGACAGTGACAGTTTGTCCAGTGAGACTGGGGCCAAAGGTACTGACAGGCCAGGGGGGACTTCTCTCCCTGGGAGACCTAAAGGAGTCCTGCTGCTTACCGGCTTGGTGGCAACAAGCCTCAGGTGCCTCATCTGTAAGATGGGTACAGGCCCAGGAGCCTGCTTATGTGGCTGTGAGGTGCTGGGGAGAAGATGCCCATCACACAGTGCAATTGCTTAGATCTGCCCTGGAGAATTTTCTAGACCGCAGTCTTTGTGGGTGAGCGTGGATCACCAGGTCTTTCTTCCACAGAGCCCCGGAATAGGTCTGAAATCCCCCCACTCCCCTCAACCTTGACATTCGTTAGCAGCCAAGCGCTTTACTAAAGCACCCCCAGGCCTGGTCAGAGGTCCTAACGGTGCTGAAGGGCCACTGCTGAGACTGGCTCAGTACTTCCTACGGGCTGTTTGGGGCGAGCCTGCTTGCTCCAGTCCTGTCATTGTCGCATACCCGGAGGCGGTCAGCAATCAGACAGCACAAGCCAAGGTCAGGCTTGCTTGGGGAAGCGGGAGATGAGGGCAAGTGAAGGGGTGCGGCCAGCGCGGGGCACTCAAGGAGGGGAGGGGGAGAAGAGGGGCGTGGAGAGGTTCAAAGGGGCTGGCACAGGGCTGGGGCGGCCCTGCTGGGCCATTCTAGGGATTGGGGTGCTGGGGAGCCAGGGCAGACCACCACAGGGTGCACAGAGAGGGGAGGCGCCCACCCTGGGAGGAGCCACAGGGGGCGTGGCCGACTCACGTACACCTGCGCGCCGACTCCTGGGCCAGCTGCAGCCGGTAGATGGAGAGGCGGTTGACGCCGCCACACACGTTGCTCCGCTCGCCCTTGCACTCCATGTCGCACTCAGCCTCGCTCACGTTGGCCGCCTGGATCTTGTGGCCGCAGTAGCACTCGGCGCCGAACTCCAGCCCGGCATACAGGTAGCCCCTAGGACGAGGGGCTGCTGTCAGTCCAGCTGGCCACCCGCGGGGGAGCCTCAAGGACAAGGAGGCTGGCCCATGTTGAAGCTGGAGCCTGGAGGGAGGGTTCTAGGCGCCCAACCTGGAGATTTGGCAGGAGGACCCCAGGAGAGGGACAGAAAACCCTGGGAGGGGGATTTGGGTGGGGAGGGGCTTTGAGGGGAACCAGGCAGCCAGGGAAACCCAAGGAGCTTTAGCAGACAGCGATATGACAAGAAACAAGGGTCCTGAGCTGGGTAAGGAGACCCCAGAGGGGTTAGAGAGGGCATCAGGGGTGGGCAGGATCAGGGAGACCAGTAAAGGTATCAGGATGCCCAGGGTAAAGAGCCCCTATTCAGGTGAGACCACCCACCTGCCTTCAGCCATCCCCCCCACCCCATCCACCATGCCTGATACCAGGTAGACCTCCTCTCCGACACCATGACCATCCAATGCACACACCACCCGCCTGTATACACTGCCAGCCGGGCTGCACTTATCTGCACGCACATGCGCACTCCCAAGGCCCCCTGGTCCTGCCCTCACCCTGGCTGGCGACATGGGCATCAGGGAGGGACCCGACTTGTAGCTCAAGAAACATCCCCCCTTCCCCTGAGAGACGCTTCTAAGTCTCTTGAGACGAGTTGAGGAGAAGGGGTGGGGGTGGGGAGGTGGGGATGGAGAACTTGGGGACCAGACGGGGCACTGGCTTATCCTTTTGGAAGATGGGATAATCCAGGTCACAGATCCATCCAAGTAGAAATCCCACCAAAAAACAAACAAAAAAAAGCCACCCAGGCACCGCAGGTTTTTTTTTAAAGCTTTTTTTTTTCCTCTCCCTCTCCATCATGGAATCTTTCCCTAAAAAGGACTTTGTGGACCCATTCTGTAAACAGACAGAAGGGCACTGCCTGTTCTGAGGGGAGCGGGCTGTGGAGGGCGAAAGCAACCTCTCTGGGCCCCTCGCCTGCCCTCGCTGCCTCTGAGGAATTCTCTGGAAGGGGACCTGGAGGGCTCCTGAGGCCATTGGCCTCTTCAGGCGGCACCGGTGGGAACAGTCAGCCGCTGCCTCGCTGGGCCTGCGTGGTGGGGGCTGGAGACAGGCCAGGCGGGATGTGGGTCTCCCTCACCTGGCCATCAGCACAGCACCTGGCCTCTTCCAGCCCCTTCGCTCACGGGATGGAGGCAGTGTTAACTGACAGGGCCCATCGTCCTGTCTGAAGCCCAGATCCCAAGATGTGGGGCCGGAGGCAGGTGCCCTTCTCCTTCCTGCCTCTGTTCTAGCCCTGTGTTCCCGGCGCCCCCACCTGTAAGAGGGCCCACTGACGGAAGCACAGCGTCACAAGAACAGGGCCCAGTCAGTGTGTCGCACTCCGAAGTGAGAGGCTGAAAGAGTGATGTTGGAGTGACAAGAGCACAGAGGCGGGGGACACCCAGCTAGAAACCATTGGCTTCTCGGGCAGGGGAAGAGCAAGGCTGCCGAGGGGCCAACAGTGCCCGTGAGCTCTTTGATACACCTTCCTTTAAGGGGTCGAGCTGCATTCATCTCCCCTGGAGGGTAGGCTGAGTTGAATGACTCATTTCTTAGTGGGTAGAAGACATGGCAGATGGCTTCCCAAGTGAGGTCAGACAGCCGTTGTGGCCTCCTCCTTGCCCTCCCTCTTGGAGCCCTCACTCTGGGGGAAGCCAGCTGCCATGTCTCCAGACACTCAACAAGCAGCCCAGTCAGACACTCAATAAGCAGCCCAATGTGAGGAGCGGAGGTCTCCAGCTCCCGGCGGCGCGGGAGTGCTCCCTCCTGGAAGAGGCAGCTGAGGCGGGAAGAGTTTGTGACCTTCAGAGTTGACTGGTTGGAGGTTTGAAGTCTCTTCACAAGCTGCCACAGGATCACGGGACCCAGGGGGAAGGAGGGGGCCCATGCTTCAAGGTGGGGGGAAGCCTTGAGACAGAGCTGCAAGAATGACAGGAGGTCCTTTGGGCTTGTTGATGTTGGGCTGCCAATTTTCTTCCAAGAGGGGCTGGCGGTCCCCAGGCAGCCATCCTGGCCTTGCTGCTGCCCGGGGCCTAGCCTGAGGGCCCTGACCCTGGTCATCTGTCTTTTGGAGCTTCGTCTCCCTCGAGGGAAGTCCACTTCCTCTCCCCCACCCCCCAGTGGTGTTCTATGAAGAACATCGTCTACAGAACACTGTCTGGACAGGCAGAGTCTTTCTTCCTGGGAGGAAAACAACACATGCCCTCAATACCCCCGCTCCCGTCTCATTCTTACACACCTCACCCGTACAGTCGTACCTGCACACATCTCCACAGTCTCCAGTGCCTACTCGCTCATTCAATGCCATTAAGTCGATGCCAACTCATAGCCGCTCCAGTCCTCAGATACCATTATTCAAAGAGGTCCTGACCTTCATCTCATTAACACAACCATCCCTGGCAACACCCACAGCTACACAATGATGCCTAGGCATCATCTCATAAACCAGCTGCCACCACTTACTGGTACGCACGCGTGCGCACACCCACCCGCTCTTGCACCACCCTCTCCAAGTGGCCACGCCCTCCAACACACGGTTTCATGGACAAGGAGAGGCCAGGCCAGGCAGCAGCCCGAGAAAGGAGGGCCAGTGAGGAACAGAGTTGGGGCGCAGGGGCCTACCGTTCAGCACAGTTGTCCTGGCAACGGAACACGGTCATCTTTTTGTAGTCGAAAAAGGACATGCCTCGCAGAGCCCGGTTCTGGGTGTCATCCAGATAGCAGCCGATGTATTTGGCTTTGGGGAGAGGGCAAAAGTCAGACGTGGCTTGGGACAGAGCTGAAAGTTATAGAACGGAGCTTCCCCCAGGGTCCTAAGGACTGTTGGCCTCGTGGTACTGATTGCTCCCTCTGCACAGGAAACCAGACACAAGAGAGGCTGACGTTTACATCTCTTGGCAGAACCTGGCCTAATAAATAAAGGCAATTGAGTCCAGTGTGGAGGGCTGTGGGCACTGGAGGCCAACAGAGGAGGAGGAGGAGGAGCCTCTATGTCGGCCAGAGCTGCAGCTAACCTCTGGACAATGCTCCCACCCCCTGAAAACAACCCTCCCGTTATGAAGCACACACTTCCTTTTTTAACATCGTCAACATAATCCTGTACTTTGTGGTACACTGTAACAGAGAGAGATGGGATCTGACAGAGTATACAATCTTCTCCTCTGTGTTCTTAAAACATGGTATGATTCTCAACTCACTGCCATCCAGTCAAATCCGACGCATAGTGACCCTATCGGACAGGGCAGAACTACCCCCTGCGGGCTTCCTAGGTTGCAAATCGTATGAGAACAGTCTGCCTCGTTTTCCTCCCACAGAGCAGTTGGTGGGCTTGAGCTGGTGATCTTCCAGGCAGCAGCTGAGCCCTTAACTACTTCTCCACCAGGACTCTGTCAGGTAAGAAGCATCACCTCCCCTGGACAGGCACATCAACTGGTGACAGCTTGGGAGAAGACCCTACCACATGCTTGTTCAATGATGTTTGCCCCACCTGTCACAGATGGAATCCCAACCTCTTGGTCTGGAACAGGATGCTGCTCCCCTCTGAGTCTGGGGAGGGAGGGAGGGAGAGTGGAAGGGAGAGAGAGATATATCTCATGGGCCATAGGCCATGTTGGTGGGTGTTTCCCATAAATGTTAGCTCAGAGTTCATCAGCAGTGTCTGGAGCTGTGTTGTAGGAGGTGCAGGGGGAGAAGAAGAGAAGGAAGGAGGGATGGATAGAAAGAAGGAGGTCATGAGAGAGAGAGAGAGAGAAACGCCATGTACTGAGCACCTCCTGACAACCTAGGAGAGGCTGACCTTGGCAGAGCCAATCATATTACCCACCCACCAGCTAGAGTGATTGGCCCAGCCAAGGGCACGGAACCCATTCCTTCCTTGGCTTATAGGTCGAAGCTTAGAACAATACATCTGCTTTTGCTGGGCGAGGCTGTTGGCATCTTCACACTCAGAGCTACCCCCAGCCACAGCTGGCACCAAGCTCAGCCCAAGTGGGAGCAGAAAGAAGCCAAGCCAGACACAAAGAGATGCGTGCCCCAGAGAGAGGGCCCTTCTGCATCCATTTGAACACATGGCCCAACAGAGCCCATTCTGCAGATGGATGGCAAGGCCCAATGCATTCTCCTCTTTGGCATTAGGCTGATTCCACCTGGGATTTTGTCTTGTGCCCAAAGGGGGCACTAACGATTACACTGATCCTTGGGGAGACTAAGTGACTGTCCTGAATCGACCTATCTGTGAAGGTCTCAGATCAAATGCAAGTGCAGGCATGCCTGCCTGTTCCCATGCGCCACACTGAGTCCTGGCTTGGTAGAAGGCCTCTCCCTCCTTGGCTAGCCCAGGGGAACGATGCTAGAGGAAAGGGCCCTGAGTGGAAGAAGGGAGGGTTGACTGCCACCTGCCTCAAAACCTGGCCTCTGCAACACTGACTCCTTTGAGGCCAGGCTTTATGAAGCAAAGTGTGGTATCAGGATCGGAAGACTCACAAGCCATCTGCCGAGTGTAGGTGACACAACCTTGCTTGCTGGAAATGACGACGACTTCCTAATGAAGGTCAAAAACTACAGCTTTCAGTATGGAACACACACACACACACAACCAATCACCATGAATTCCTGGCCAATGGACCAATAAAATCACCCTGATCCGTGAAGAAGGCGTTAAAGCTGCCTACGATTTCATTGCACACGGATCAATAATCCACATCCATGGAAGCTGCGGCCAAGAAACCAAGAGGAGCACACTGCGTTGGTAAAATGTGTGACAAAAGACCCCTTGAAAGTGTGCCAGAAGCAAAGATGTCACTTTGGTGACCAGGTGCGCCTGCCCCAAGTCACGATCAAGTGTTTCGTGCCAGCAAAAGCCGGACAGGGAGGAGGGAAGGCAGGAGGAGAATGAACGCCGCGGGGTCCGATGTTGGCAAAGAATACCCATGATGGCATGGCCTGCCGTAAGGACGCACAAATCAGAAGTTTCCTTAAAAGCGAGGGTGGCAAGACTTACTTTGGAAATGTCCTCACTCGTAAAGAGACAGTTGTTTGGTAAAGTGGAGAGAGGGTGAGTGAGCCTCAATGAGATAGATGGATACAAATGTCCGAGCCTCAATGAGATAGACGGCTACAAACAGCCACAACTATCAACCCAAACATACCAACGTTGCTGGTCAATGGAGACAATGCAAACTCAAAAAACCCACTGCCCGGTAGAAGACATGAAAAACAAGTGATAAATTGTCAAGGTTTCATGAGCGAGGGTGGGGGGAGGGGGAAATGAGCTGAAACCAAGGGCTCAGTAGAAAGAAAATGTTTTGAGAATGACGATGGCAGCGTAGGTACAACTGTGCTTGACACAATGGATGATGGATGGATTGTGATAAGAGCTGTATGAGCCCCCAATAAAATGATAAACACAATAAGTGGCCCCATAGGACAGGGTAGAACTGCCCCTGTGGATTTCAAGACTAACTTCGGATGGAAGTAGAAAGCCTCATCTTTCTCTCAAGGAGTGCCTGGTAATTTTGAACTGCTGACCTTGTGGTTCACAGTCAACATATAACCCCCTGTGCCACCAGGGCTTCTGAAGATAAAGCAGGAGCTGGCCAACTTTCATTGTAGTGTACGTAAGACTGCCACGAGGTGAAGCCGCTATCGCCAACAACAACCTCTCCTACCTACCCGGCTAGGGCTCAGGCTGAGCACCGGAGCTTGAAATGAACAAATGGCCCTCCATTTCCTTATCTGTCAACAAGAGGGAGATAAAGACACACAGTCCTTCAATAATGCCCTGGGGAGATGTTGAGTGTGTGACCCACTGGCCTGAAGAACAGGCTGGAGACTAAGCTGAAAGGGATGCAGGACGAAGTGACCCCCAGGTCCTGTGGACTTGTTGAGCCGATGGTACCAAGCCCTTCCTCTGGGCAGAAAGCCCGACACAAGACTGCCTGGAATCCACGGGTCTTGGCCGAACCTGGTCTCTAAATACAGGTAGTGGGATCCAAGGTGGCTCAGGGCACGAAAACCGAACACAGTCCACACAGTCGTAGGTGAGCATTGACTCCTTCCCCACTCACCCATCGGCATGAGCTTCAGCAATGGACTTTCAACCCGCACTGAGCTCATCAGTGGTTATGGCCAGTCCCCTGGGATCATTTTCCCCAGGGCCCCAGCTTCCCACCCGGCTGCAGCTGTCGAAGCTGTCAGAGAAGAGATGGTCAGTTTGTAAAACAGAGGCCTGCTCACAGGCCACTTGAGAGCAGATGAATCGCCAGGCCCACAAGATCCATCAGCCAGTCCCCCCAGCCATCCAAGTCCTGCTGACACAGCACAGTCACCCCGCTGGGCGATCTGTCTCAAGCTCAGATGCCTGCAGCCTGCAGAATGAGTCCCTCCCCCGAAGGCTCTTTCCTTGATTTCTTTCCTCTCGCGGCCTTCCATCTTCCTTGTGGTAAAGTTTTGCTTCTCTTTCCTAAAGGTAATTTTCTGGAGGGGCCCTCGTTTGTGTGCCAGTTTGTGGACCAGGGAGTAGAGCCCCGAAGAGAGAGCAATTTTGGAGGCAGCCAGGACCTGGGCTCAGACCTTAAGTTGGACCCCAGAGAAGGCTGCAGGGTGATTTCAGCTCTCCATCCATTAAGGCTCGGGCAGCTGAACATGGGCTCCAAAGCCCTCCCAAGGGGGCTGTTAACCACGTCAGTCAGAGCCATCTACCTTGGTAGCCTGATAATTGCTCTCAGCGTCGTGGAGACCCAGGGAGTGGGCATTTTCTCCCTGGCCATGTCTGGACCATTCCAGTGCTGTCTGCATTTCCTTGCTCACAGAATGCAATTTCCTTTTCCTATCATGGTTTCCCATCCTTCCCTTTGGTCAAGGTCCACCAGTCTTGCAGATTCTATGACCTCTCCTCTGGGGAAGCCGCTGTGACAGACAGCCATGTCTGACTGACTGGTATCCCGAAGTCCTCTGGTCTACCTCAATGCCTGAGCACTTTCCAACACTTTCTTTGGTTTGGAAAATTGAGGCTCCCTGGAGAAGGGTCTTTGCCACCAAAAGGAGATGTCCTGTAATGGAGGGAAGAGCATAGGAAAGCGAAGATGGCACAGCAGTGATGCTTAACTGAGGCTGATGTTGGGTGAGCAGCTGGTGGCACAGGGGGTTTTGTGTCGGGCTACTAATCAGAAGGTTGGTAGTTCAAAACCTCCAGCTGCTCTTTGGAACAAAGATGAGGCTTTCTACTCCCGTCAAGAGTTGAAGCCTGGGAAGCCCACAGGAGCAGCTCTGCGCTGTCCTAGAGGGTTGGCAGGAGGGGGAATGGACTCGGTAGCAGTGAGTGTGGTTTGGGGGTTCTGTGGTGTTGGGTGGTGGGAGTTCTATGAGGACCTTATGTGACTTTGCTGTCGAGGAAAACAGCTGTGAACATTTCTTAGACAAAAGAACCTGTTTTGATAGTGAATGATGGGGGGAGTGCGGAGTGGAGACCCAAAGCCCATTAGTAGGCCACTGGAGATCCCCTTGCAGAGGGGTCTCGG